ATATAAGGGGAGATCAATGGTGGATAAAGGTGAGTTTTAGCGAAGTTTGTAGCTAGATTCCTCTGGTGCTGTCCCTGGGTTGAAAAGAATCTAGAGTTGTTCCAGTGATTAACTTCTGTCCTTCCTGGTAGAAAGGAGGTGGGGGGGGGGGGCATCTCTACAAATATACTTCCTACATTTAGGCAAATAGGGGAAAGGCAAGTAGAAGAAGCTTTTCTTGTATTTGCTTCTTCTTATTTACCTTCAACTCAAAATAATCCTTATGCCAAAGTGGCATGCTTTGGGGTCAAATATTCTGCTACCCTGGAGCAAACTTTTGTTGTTTTACCATTTGTTATGGTTATCAGGGTATAACCTAGCCCAGTGGTTCTCAAAATATGGTTTCTGGACTAGCAGCATCAGCTTTACCTGGGAACTTGTTAGAAATACAAATTCTCAAGCCCCACCCCAGACTTCAGTTCAGTGGCTCAGTCATGTCCAACTCTTTGTGACCCCATGGACTGCAGCATATCAGGCTTCCCTGTCCATTATCAACTCCTGAAGCTTGCTCAAACTCATGTCCATCAAGTTAGTAATGCCATTCAACCATCTCATCTTCTGTCGTCCCCTTCTCCTCCTGCCTTCAATCTTTCCCAGCATCAGGGTCTTTTCCAGTGAGTCAGTTCTTCACATCAGGTGGCCAAAGTATTGGAGCTTCAGCTTTAGCATCAGTCCTTCCAATGAATATTCAGGACCGATTTCATTTATGATGGACTGGTTGGATCTCCTTGCAGTCCAAGGGACTCTCAAGAGTATTCCCCAACACCACAGTTCGAAAGCATCAATTCTTCGGCACTCAGCTTTCTTTATAGTCCAACTCTAACATCCATACATGACTTACTGAAGCTGAAACCCTGGGGTGGGGCTCAGCAGTTGGATTCTGAAGCATGAAAACTGCTGTCCTATGTGTTGCCAACTGATACTGCCATCTGCAAGACACAGCAGGAGGAGTACAATTCATAGAGAAAGTCATTCTGGTAAACTTGCAAAAACTCAGAAGAATTAAATGGTGAGGCTCTTCTTATCATAGGAATGATTTTTTTTTTGTCATAGGAATGAATTTTTAAGAAAAAATATATTTTACTAATCTCCACTAACTGAGCCTGCCTAACAGAATGGTGAAAACTGGTCACTTGGACTGTCTCCTACTGTGTCACATGACAGAAAACACTCTAGCAGAGGGAATACTTGGAATACAACGTCATTGAAGCCAGAACTAGGCTAACGAAGACAAACCCAGAAATGCATTTTCCATTTGTCTCCATGGCCCTGCTTAGAGAATGCGCCTGGATGCTTTGAATTCAAAAGAACATAAGACCCAATTCTCTCTTCTGCAGGGTGAGTCATTAGAACCGCAGCAAAGGCTATTTGGTAATGGGCACTATTTAAATGAAGCAAAAAGTACAGTTTCAAACGAATTGCTTTTTAAACTGTCAAATAGAAGGAATCCATTTGTGCAAGTGAAATTATTTCAAGGGTTCTATTTACTGAGAGCAGGTGAAAGATGTCAAAGAAACGTTCTATTAAAGAACAAGTTAAATGTTTAAAGACGGACACTGATGACTCCTTTGGCCTGTTTTCTATTCAGAAATGTCTATTTTCGCCAGCCCTACATGAACTCCATGGACAACAGTTTTAAGAAAATATTGCATGCTCAGTGTCTAAGTCACATCCAACCCTTTGCGACACTGTGGACTATAGCCTGCCAGCCTCCTCTGTCCATGGGATTTTCCAGGCAAGAATACTGAAGTGAGTTGCCATTTTCTGCTTTAGGGAATCTTCCCAACCCAGGGAATGAACCCAAGTCTCTTTACCACTGAACCACCTGGGAATCCTAGTAATAAGATCCTGTTTTTAAAGCTTCAGTAAGTTTTTTTTTTAATTGAAATATAGTTGATTTACAATGTTGTATTAGTTTAAGCTATACAGCAAAATGATTCAATTATACGTATATATGTGTGTATGTGTGTGTGTGTGTGTGTTTTCAGATTCTTTTCCCTTATGGGTTATTACAATATATTGAGTATATCTTCCCTTGCTATGCAGTAGGTCCTTATTGGTTATCTCTCTTACATACAGTAGTGTTATATGTTTATCCCAAACTCCTAATTTGTCCTCCCCATTCCCCCCCCCCCCAACACTTTCTCCTTTGGTAACCATAATTTTATTTTCTATGTCTTCAGGTCTAATTCTATTTTCTAATGCAAGTGAATAAGCTCACTTGTATTATTTTTTAGATTCTACAATAAGTGATATATGCTATTTGTCTTTTGCTTATTTCACTTAATAATCTGTAGGCCCATCCATGTTGCTGCAAATGACATTATTTCATTCTTTTTAATGGCTAAGTAATATTCCATTGTGCAAATATACCACATCTTCTTTACACATTCATTTGTCAATGGGCATTTAGGTGGCTTCCATGTCTTGGCTATTGTATTATAAATGTGCTGCAAGAAACACTGAGGTGCATGTATAATATGCCATTTTGTTCATTAGAGTTGCCTTAACCAATGTGACCTGAATGCTCTCTTGTGGATGGGATGAAAGCATATTATCGCTTTAACTCTTTTTCCTTTGGCGAAAATAGGATGCCATCGGCTCTCTGATAACTTTCCAAATGCCACATTTAACACTGTTTTATGGCTTTTTATTTGCTATTGCTAAATAGCGATTTTGTACAGCCTGGTCATAAAGAAAATTCTTCAAACATGTGAAGAGTGGTTTTTCTGGTCACTGGCAGGGATGCTTGGTAGAGGTCACCCATATAGAGGGAGGTCCTCAGTGGTAAGGCCGCTCTACAGACAAAACAGAGCTCTGAGCTGTTCTATACAAGGCCTACCCAGCTGTTTCCATCTCATTTACTCTAGGGGTTTCCACTGCAATTAGTCTTGTGTTCATGCCTCCAGTACCCGTGGGCACTGAAAAGGGACATCGGAAAATAATTAGTGAAACTTCCCCCTCCCCTGGCCCTCCAGCTACCTCTCACTTGTGTCACTATGCCAGGCCAACACAAGCAAGGCTTAGTCGGAGAGGAACTGCCCAGATGGTGTCCCTAGAATCAGTGGGACAGATTTGAAAGGGTCACGCTCCTGACACTTGAATGTGCACACAAACCTCTTAGGGGGTCTGGTTAAAAATTCACAATTTTCAATAGGTCTGGGTGGGAACCCTAGAGCCTGAATTTCTTGCAAGCTCCCAGGCAATGCTTATGCTGCTGTGGACCACATTTTGAGTAATGATAAATAAAATAACACACGTTCTGCAAAAATAGTGACTTTTGTAACTGACTCTGTTAAACCGGCATTTATCCAAGGGTCTGGCTCCCCTTTGATTTGGGGTTCCTTGAAAGCAGGAACTGGATCGTACACATATTTTGGTGGTTTTGTTCTCTGACTGGCACTTGGCACTGATCCTGCGCTCGGTGGGTGTGTATTTATTTAATTAAACAGACCTGGCCTTGTTCCAGAAAGGATTTTAAATGGACTTAACCCCTAGCACGCTCTAACTAGGTGCTCGATGGCCAGGGAAAGAAGTCATTCCCAGGGGTTGAGGCCCTCACGCTCAAGGTCCCCACCACCTGCTTGCCCCTGGATTAAAACTCAGCGGCAGCTCTTATGAAATTCTGCCTCGTGCCCCATTTTAAAAGCGGTTTACACTACAGGGCCGATCAGAGAGGAGGAGGAAAAACAAAACCAAACCCAGAAAGCCCCGTGAAGCGGTACGGCTCCAGAACATCAAAAGCTCAACTCTCCGCGGCGGGGCGGCAGAACTCTCGGGTTTCTCTCCAGCGGGTCTCCTGCGTTTTGCAGGTCAGCGCTGCGCCCCCGCCGCCGGCTCCCCCGCCCGCCCCGAGAGCCCTGCAGGAGCCGGTCCCCGCGGGCTTGGTGCAAGCGCGTTTGTTAGCTCAGCTCGAGCAATTAATCTTCTCCTGCATCTCCCGCCCCGCGGGGCTGTGGGGGCCTCGGGTCGCCTCGGGGGTCGTGCAGAGCCCGGACTAGAGCGACCGCTCTACAGAAACCCTCGTTTCTGAGTCCCTGCGGTGCCATAACCTGTTCCTCTCCGCAGCAGCCCCGCAGGGTTAGAGAAGGGCTAGTTTCGGCTCTGTAGGGGCGGGGAAGGGGGGGGGGGGGGAGGGGGGGGGGGGTACAAAAAGAGAAGGAGGGCGGTTGTGCGGGTCAGTAGTTGAGCCTCGCCGGGGAAGGGAGGAGCGCACCGGCGAGTGCGCCCTAGGGGAGGAGTACACGTGCTGGGGAGGAGGGGCGGGAGGGGAGGAGAAGGGAGGCGAGAGCGGCGGGCGGGAGGCGCCACGGCTTCCCAGACGCAGGCGCCGGCAGCCGGAGACAAAGTTCCCGGGGAGAGCTCGCCCCCGGAGGGCCGACGTCTAGGCGGCTCGCGGCTAGGGTCTCAGGTCCCGCGCGTCCAGTCTGCTTCCCCACTTGACCGCACTGGGCCGGCCCGTCTCGGCTCGCCGGGAAACAGGGGAGCATCGCTGGCCGGCGACCGCCGCCAAACTTGGAGGGGGAAGATGCTACGAGTGGGAGCGGCGGCGCGGCGCGCGGGGGCGCACTGAGTGCTCCCGCGGGCGCCCCCAGGCACTGCTCCCAGGGCTGCGGCCGGGCGAGGGCGCCGAGGCTGAGCGGGCAGGTAGCGGCATCAGCGCCGGGACTGCGCCAGCCCTGCGATCCAGGGCCGCCAGCGCCACCGTGCCGGCATCGCCTCCTTGCCACCGAGCCATGGTGCGCGGAGCGCGCACACCGCGCGCGGGACTCTGAGCTCCGGCCGCGCCGCGCGCCCCCCACCTCCTCTCCCGGCTTCCCTGCCGAGCTCGCCAGCGGGCCATGAACCTTTGGCCTGGAGCCCCTGGCCTCTGAGCCTCGCGTCGCCCGCTCCAGTCCACGCCGCTCGGCCCCAAATAGCACTCCGGCCGCTGGGGCTCCCCATCCTCTTGCCAGAGGCGGCATCCAGGCGCTGCGGGATGGCGCTCCGCGGGCCCCCCAGGCCGCGCAAAGTTCGTAGGAGGCGAGAGATGCTGCCGCAGCAAGTTGGCTTCATGTGCGCGATTTTGGCCCTGGTGTGCTGTGCGTCTGGCCTCTTTGGCAGCTGGGGTAGGTAATGGTGCGGGCCTGCCCGGGGAGTTGGGGGGTTTGGGCTGGAAAACCGCGGGGCAGTTCTGGGAGGTCTTCCCTCTCTTCCCAGCCAGGTTAGCTCCAAGGCTTCATCCAGTCCCCTCCCCATCGGACAGGTAGAGCGCACCCAGGAGGGCTGATGACTACGCTCTGAGCGCTGGTGCCTGTTCCCCTGAGCTGCGCGCGGCCCCTGGGGGCTCAAAACGCGGCTGCAGGTCTGTGTTACTAAGGCGAAAGCCTGAACCACTGGCCCCTCGGCGCCAGAGTTCTGTCCCTGGGGGTGCCCAGGGAGTGTGGGCAGCGCAGCGGAGAGGTCCGTGTGTGGATTCTCTTGGCCTGGGGCGGACGAGACTGAATGGACTGCCTTCCAGTTTTGCAGAGCAGGGAAGATTGTTCTCCGCGTCCCTCAAAAACCCAGGTTTTGAGGCCGGGAACTGAGTCTCAGCTCTCGCCCCCGCCCCTGCCGAAGGGGCGCCCGGGGTTTCCTGACGCGTCCTCTCCAAACCCTAAAAATGGTGGGGCAGTCTGTCCCCTGGGGAGGTTGCTGCTGTGCTTCAAAATCACTTTTCAACTCCTCCTAATCCCCGCGGAATTAGTGTTGGTGCCTGGAACAACTATCCACACGCCTTCCATCCGAGAAGAGACAAGGAAATTTGGGAGTTGCTTAGGATATCCATATTTAAGATGGAGAGAAAAAGAAACTTACAAAAAATGTTAGGGATGGAGTAGGGGATGTGAGCCCAGGTGGAACCTTCAGAAGACAGTCAGGGTGGCTAACGTTCCCATTTTCATGGATGCTGGGGACCCTTTAGTATTGTTTTTAATATTCTATTTTAATTTTTAATGTTCTCTGGCAACTTTATTTCAACTTTTAAATTGAAGTATCCTTGATTGATGATAATGTGTTAGTTTCAGGTGTATAGCAAAGTGATTCGGTTATACATATATGTGCATATGTATATATGTGTGTATTTTCAAACATTTAAGAAAATGAAAGAAATGCTGTGATTTAACACTCAGGATATGGGGAATAAAGCAGATGCTACCTTCTTGAGTAGTTAGGGACAATTTAGAGAGGCTCATGTTGATTGATAGAAATCAGGAACTTCATTAAACTTTATACAGCCTTTCAAAACTCAAACTTTGTGATTTGAGGATGAAAGATTAAACAAAACTGGCCCTTTCCAAAAGAAATCCAGAAAGGTTATTTTAACACCATAGTACCTGGTGCTTTGCAATTGGGCAAGTTGGTGTGTTTTCTCCCTCAATTACACACTAGAAATAACAAAATACCTAGAGGCTCTTAGATGTCAGCATTATAGAAGAGGTATTATTACCCAGCTGAAGCAGTGTGCACCTCAGGAGAGGTAAATGAATACTTTAAAGGTCTTAAAGTGAGAATTATTTTTTATTTGCTGGATCAGGAAGGCCTTTAGGAGTTCAGCTGACTTGGTCACCAGCGTCCACACCAGTGATCTTCCTTGTTACTCAGTATGGCCCTTGGATCATCAAAATCAGTGTCACCTGGGAGCTTGTTAGTGCAGAATTCCAGTCCTGGCCCAGACCTACTGAATCAGAATGTGCATTGTAATAAGGTTCCCAGGTGATTTGTATGCACATTCAAGGGTGCAAAGTCCCGGGCCAGACCCCATCACCTTTCTCCACCTGTTTGTGACTTTATCCTTCAGGGCAGGGATACCTGAGCATGTTTACTGGCTAAGAACTTAATGGTCACCTGTCTAAACCTTGTATTGCACTTGTGAGGGGCTGAGACCAAAGCAATCTTGGCCAAGGTCAGAGCACATGCTGACCTATCTGGGACTAGAAACAATAAACTAGATCTAGGAAACAGATTACTGAAGGTGAGCAGGTGATACTGTGCTTCCAGTCACTGTATCACTCCCTGCAGATGGCTTTAAATAGTCAAACAGGGCTGTTGCTGACAGAGCTAGATGTATGCTGTAAGGCCATTGTGAGGATGTAGGTGCCATGTCGATCTCATGGTGTTTGTGACTTATTTTCCAATCCAGGGCACAGAACAGCTTCTGTGAGCAAATATGTTCTCCCAGATACATGGAAAAATAGAAGGCTGATGGCACCAGTGAATGGGACTGAGGCAGCTAAGAATTGCACAGATCCTGGTAAGAGATCCTTCCCAAGGCATTTGACTTGGCCTCAAGATGGTATGGATGTAGACAGTCATAACCAGAGCTGAGAAAAGATGGTTTTGTGACCCTGAATGGGAAAGGGTAGCAATAAGGAGTTGAAAGGTAACATATAGGCATTAATCAGCTGTGCTGCTAAGCAACTCACATTCTTTATCCAACAACCGAAAAGGTCACATTTGAGAGTTTTCACTTTTCAATTTTTGTTCTCACAATGCTCCTAAAGGGTCAGTGTTCTGCCCCTGCCCCCCATTTTGTTTGTCTGGATGTCTTCGTTTTCTTTCCCTTTGGTCGCTGTGTCCATCTGATGGAACTCCAGGGGCAGCATACCCAGCTGCTCTGGGAGAGGACACTTTGGGATGACCCACCAGGTTATACCACCCAGGGTCACTGCAGGGGCCGGACATGCTGGGGTGCTGGGGCCCCTTCTCTGGGACAGGAATTCCAGGTATTATTGCAACCTGAGAGATGGTTCTGCTCGCCCTGGGAGGTGGTTTGATGTTCCTCTTCTGACTTTTCCAGGGTGTCAGAGGCTGTAGGGACCCATTCTTGTCTGTTCTCCTTGCCAGATGCAGGCTTTGCTTAAATGGGTGGAGATTTCTTCCTAGGCATTGTACTTGCCAGCGAATGGAAGCTCAGACAGGCCAGTCCTAGGTTTTAGCTTTGGCTTCCAAACTTGGGGCTCCTTGTGAGAAGGACTCAATGGGATGATGCATTTGAAAGCTCTTTGGGAACCATGAAGTTTTATCTTCTTATTTAAAAAAGTTGAAGTATAGTTCATTTCTAATGTTGTGTTAGTTTCAAATGTACAGCAGGGTGATTCAGTTATATGTATATGCCTATTCTCTTCCTGATTCTTTTCCATTTAGGGTATTACAGAGTGTTGGGTATAATCCCCCATACTACACAGCACATCCTCGCTGTTTACCTGTTTTATGTATAGTAGTGTGTATATGTTAGTCCCAAGCACCTAATTACCCCCACCCCCCACTATCCTCTTTGGTAACTGTAACTTGTTTTCTAAGTCTGTGAGTCTATTTCTGTTTTATAAATAAGTTCATTTGTATCATTTTTTTTTAAGCTTCCACATATAAGTGATATGATATTTGTCTTTCTTGCTTGATATGATAATCCCTAGGTCCATCTACATTGCTGCAAATGGCATTCTTTCTTTCTTTTTTTTTAATAGCCAAGCAATATTCCCTTGTGTGTATATCTTCTTTATCCATTTATCTGTTGATAACATTTAGGTTGCTTCTGTGTATGGGTTGTTGTAAATAGCACTGCTATGAACATTGGGGAACACGGGGTGCATATCTGTTCAAATTCTAGTTTGCTCTGGATATATGCCCAGCAGTGGGAGTGCAGGATCACGTGGTAACTCTATGTTTAGATTTTTAAGGAACCTCCATACTGTTCTCCATGGTGGTTTCACCAATTTACATTCCCACTGAGGGTGTAGGAGGGTTCCTTTTTCTCCACACCCTATGGAGGTTTTATTTTAGATGGATACCACTCAGCTTTTCCACCAAGTTGCCAAGCAAGTCAGTCTTTTTAGGTGTCTGTTTTCTTACCTGTAAAATGGGAAGAATAGAACTTGACCTCCTACTCTAGGGTTGTTGAAAGAACCGGGTGGGGTTCTGCATGGGGCTGTGTGAAAAAAGAACTAGAAACCCAGGCCAAAGGAGCAGGCTAGGAGGCCATCTTCCCGGGACTTATTCTCATGGGAGTGCCAGCAAAGCAGTGCCGTGCTCAGTTGCATCTAATACTTTGCGACCCCATGGGCTGTAGCCCACCAGACTCCTCTGTCCATGGGATTCTCCAGGCAAGAATACTGGAGTGGGTAGCTTTTTCCTTCTCCAGGGGATCTTCCCGACCCAGGGACTGAACCCGCATCTCTTGTGTCTCCTGCATTGGCAGGCAGATTCTTTACCACTGATGCTACCTGGGAAGCCCTTATTTTCATAGGCAAGTCTTATCAACATTTTACAGGTGGGTAAATACCTAGGGAAGAAACAGGAGTCACTCAAAGTCATGAAACTTTTAAGTGGGAAAGCTGGTCCTGGAACCTAGGCCTGTGGGTCTGAAATGTTTGGTTAGTTCCATGCACTTATGAAGGTCAGGCCCTTCCCTCAAAGCCTATTTTTGACACCATCAACTTCCCTTCCCTCAAAATGCTGTCTGAGGAATCCATTTGGGACACAGAGGTTTAGCTAAATCTCCAAATTGTTCACCTTCTGCTTGATGGGGATGGGACCGGTCGAACTTGCAGAGAAGCAGCTGGGATTCCCTTTGAACTCCCATCTGTCCTGGTGACCCAGTGGGCAGTGGTGCTGTCCTGTCATTTCACCTCCCTCAGCACATTCTTCCAGCAGCGGGAAGCGGCTGACACATGTGTGGGACTAACCCGTGAACATGTGTACAGCCAGAAACTGTGGCGGGGGCCCATCCTCTCATTCCAATCTCTTGAGATGCTAAAATCAGCACCATCCATGAGGGGAACACTTTTTCACTCTGGGTAAAGAGGGTGAGTGGGTTTTGGACTGATTTCTAGCTCACCAAGCTCTCATCTTGGGCTGACCATTCCTCCTGTAGCTCCTGTCACGTGTAGTCTGGACACATTGGCTTAGTCAGGACCCCATTTCTTAGGTTAGAGTCTCCTATGCCCTTCGGTCACTCTTATCTCTTCAGTGTACTGTCTGATCAAAAATTATTCCACTAACTATGAAGCAGTCAGCCCTATTTGGCAGGAACGTTTGGTTTTGTCCCCCTTCAAAGAGGGAAGCAGGGAAACTGGCAAAATGTTTAGCAACAAGTCACTTGGATTGGGCTTCCCAGGTGGCGCAAGTGGTAAAGAACCTGCCTGCCAATGCAGGAGACATAAGAGACACGGGTTCGATCCCTGGGTTGGGAAGACCCCCTGGAGAAGGAGATGGCAACCAACTCCAGTGTTCTTGCCTGGAGAATCCCATGGACAGAGGAGCCTGGGGGCTACAGTCCATGGGGTTCCAAAGAGTTCACTTTGTATCAACTGTTTCTGGGATAGTGTCCTGCACATTAGAAAGGACTCGGTAAATATTGGTCAAGTGATGGAATGAAAGTGCTCTTTCCAACGTTAAACACCTCAGTGTTTTTGCAAAGATGAGGAACACAGGCTCAAAGGTTTAGTGACTTCCCAGGATCTCTTGGCTGGCATGAGCTCTGCTTGCATGCCCTTCCCATTGCACTTGCCCCTGCTCTCCGCCCAGCCCAGAGGGGGTCAAAGCCTGAGTTCCCTTCCAGCCTCCTCATCCGAGGACCATGAGAATACCTAGCCCCTTTTCCATTTCACAAGTGGGCACTTGGTGGAGGTAGAAGATCAAGCAGATCATAATCGAGTAGAGAAGACAGAGTCCCAACCCAGGGCCCTCGGTGACACGGGAGGCCTGCAGAGATCCTCCAGGCAGCAGCCTCACGGGACCGCATTGGGGGCTCGGAGAATGGTGAGTTGAGTCCAAGGCAGTTCTGCAGAGTCTGGGGGTCTAGGTGAAGCAGGCCTCTGCCTCAGACACAGAAAACCTCCCCAAACTGGGTTTAGCAAAAAAGGGGATTTATTGGCTGAGATCAAAGGTGAACTGTGATGCTCACTTTCTGCTTCTGAGCTCAGATATCATCCAGCGTGCGGGGACCCACACCTCTGGCTTTAGGTCCTCCTGGACCCCAAAGTGCTGGACAGAGTGCTGCTGGCTGAGGCGTTTCTGCAGAAGTCCCGAGGTTCTGGTGGGTTGGTGTGACTTGAGTCACATGGCTTCCTTAAGCCAGCTGCTTGGCCAGGGGAGTGTTGGGCCTGGACCCGCTTAGAGTTAGGTCACAGGCTCTGCCTCTGGAGGGATGGGACTGAAGCTTCCTCCTCCAACCTGAACTCCCCCTGGGAGCCGGCAGGGGTAGGCATTTTCAGGAGCTGGCTTTGTAACAGTCCTGTTCTGGGGCTGCTGTGATGAAGGCGGACCAGAGCTTCCTACCAGTTAGTGTCAGGGTGCAGGGGGAAGTGATGACAAGGTGGCATTTGCTGGCTGCCTTCTTTTCTACACAGTTACAGGAGCTGCCCATAAAGAACCACAAGTTTCTTGCATCCTCTGAGACATCCACTGTGCATCCCTCCACACCAGCTAGACTGCCCCCTTCATGATCTACCACATGGGGTCTTTTAGGGATGTGGTCTCCCCATGTAGTCTCTCCACATGTTTCTTCATGTGGAGCTTGAAGAATGACCTGCTATGTCAGTTCCCAGACCGGAAGCATTGCCCACAGTAGGTGTTCAGCAAACATTAGTTCATCTTTTCATAAGAACCTCCAGGAAGGAAACGTGTCTTATTTTCTCTCCCTTCAGAGTGCAACCTGTGCGCCTGTCAGAGAGATAGCTTTGTGTTCTAAAGACACAAATGGGACCCTGCTCTTGTAATCCCTTAAGACTTGAGGTGGAAAGTGGGCTCTTTTCTCAGCCTGGGGTCATCTCTTCAGATCTTGGTGGTGTTTCTGTCTTGTAATTTGTGCTTCAGTGTAATTCCCGCTTGCCCCCTTCCTCCGACCCCCCGCTGACCTCGTCACCTTATCCCATGTTGTTTGTATGACATGTCTCTGCTGTCTAAAATAATTTAGTTATTTCTCATCTGTCTCCCCTTGAGAGCTACCTAGCTCACTGCTCTGTGTCCAGAAGAGTGATTCTTAACCCTGGCCGCACGTTCAGATCACTGAGCACTGTATTTATTTTTGGTTGTACGGAGTCTTCATGGCTGGGCGTGGGCTTTCTTTGGTTGTGGAGAGTGGGGACTACTCTGCGTTGTGGTGCCTGGGCCTCTCTTGTGGGGCTCTAGGGTGCACGGGCTTTAGTAGTTGCAGGGCGCAGGCTCAGTAGTTGAGGTTCATGGACTTAGTGACTCCAAGGCACGTGGAATCTTCCTGGACCAGCTATCAAACCTGTGTTGCTTGCACTGGCT